AAAAAAAAAAAAAATACAAAGCAATTAAATTCATAATAATTAGATCGATCATATTACAATTGAGGCAAAGAAAATTTACCCGAGTGGCTATTAATGAGGCAATGAAAAACTGAAACCAAAGCAAGAGGCATAGGCCTATATATTTAGTCATATTATTTGATGTGAAAAATGATGTAACCTTGTCATGCATATATATAGGCTTCATTTTGGCTACCAGCGGACAACGAATAGTTGATTGTATTAGTGGATAGCTGATAGCAGAATTTAATTGTTGATTTGACCAATAGATGGTATTAATAGATTGTAATTAATTGTTTGACAAATAACCAATTGTATGTTGTCATGGTAAGAAAAATTGTACTATTCGTCCACTAATTATACTCTTGTTGCACTTTCGTTCTTTCATTGTTTTCGGTTTACAATTGGTACACTAATTTATTTTTATTTTTTTTTTGGTAATTTTAGTTCAAAATGACCTTACGGTGCTCATTTTCGTCGGGATAGCTGATGTGGCGCCCAGTCAGATCGAAATTTTCATTCTCGGCGTGATGTGGCACGAGGTGGCGCCTAGTCAGATCAGAAAAGTTGCACTATTCGTCCACTAACTTTACATTCGTTACACTTTCGTCATTTAATTGTTTCCGATTTACAAAATCAGAAGAAAAAAATATTAAGAAAATCAAAAGAAAAAGAAAAGACATGTGGATAAAAAAATGAACAAAAAAAGAATATTAATTAATAAAAAATCATTCTGTTTAATGATTTTCAACAAAATAAAAAAATATATATCTTTTTTTAAAATAAGAATACATTTTTTGTTTAATTAAAAACGAAATAATTAATAAAAAACAAAATAAAAAACAAAATAAATGTTTAATGAGAAATAAATATTTTTTATTTAATGGTTAAATATTTAATAAGGAAAGAAATATTTATCATTTTTTGTTTAATGAAAAAATATTTTTTATTTAAATAAAAAAAACATATTTAATAAAAAAAGAAATATAAAACAAAATTAATATTTTCATGAGTAATAAATATTTTATAAATATTTTCTATTTAATGGTTAAATATTTAATGAAAAATGAAATATTTAATAAAAAATATTTTTTGTTTTTTTATTAAATATTTCGTTTTTGTATTAAATAGTTAATCCTTAAATAAAAAATATTTATCACTCATTATAAATGTATTTTGTTTTTATTAAATATTTTATTTTTATTTAATCATCAAAAATTTCATATTTTATTAAATTAAAAAATAATTTTTAATAAATAAAAAAATTATTTTTTTCTTTTTCTTTTGATTTTTTCTTTTTCTTTTTAAAGCTTTTTATTTTTCTTTTGATTCTTTTAATATATTTTTCTGATTTTGCAAACCGGAATAATTAAAGGACGAAAGTGCAACGAATGTAAAGTTAGTGGATGAATAGTGCAATTTTTCCAATCTGACCAGGCGCCACCTCGTGCCACATAACTACGAGAATAGAAATTCCAATCTGACTGGGTGTCACACCAGCTATTCCGGCAAAAATGAGCACCGTAATGTCATTTTGGACTAAAATTACCCAAAATAAAAAAGTTAGTGTACCAATTGTAAACCGAAAACAATTAAAGGACGAAAGTGCAACGAGGGTATAATTAGTGGATGAATAGTGCAATTTTTCCGTCGTGTTATTTTATAATCATCACTTCTTAAATTCCCCATACATTTAATCATTTTAGAATTAGCGTTTAGACTCAAAAAGTTTATGAAATAAACTCTTTATCAAAAAGGTCGATTGACAAATTTGACGAGTTAAATCTGTAATGAAGTCCAATCTGCTAATTTAATCATGCATATAGGCTCATTTTGGCTATCAGATAGCGGATAGCGAATAGTTGATTGTGTTAGTGGATAGCTGATAGCGGATTATATTTGTTGATTTGACTAATGCATTGTGTTAGTTCTTTGTAATTAATTATTTTGTAAATTAGCGGATTGTATGACTATTTTAAATTTTTGTGTTGACATGTTATTTTATGAATTCTCTCTTCTCAAAACTCTCATATATTTAGACTATGTTGGTAAATTAGCTGATAAGCTAACTTATAGTTTATCAGTAATTTTCGAGCTTATATCTTATGACTTATAGCTGTAAAGATAGCTTATATGATAAAAACTAGTACAGAGCCCGTGCGATGCACGGGGTGCACAATTTTAAGATCATTTATCCATTCTTATAATTATATAAATGAATAAAAAAAATGTACGGGATATATATAGTACGTGACATGTAATAGGCCAAATGTGAACACGGGTGATGCACGGGGTGCTCAATTTTAAGGTCATTTATTAGTACAGAGTCCGTGCAATGCACGAGGTGCACATTTTTCTAGTATGTGTAATAAAAATACATATTGTATGCATGGGATAGAAGCACTAAATGAGTCATTTCCACAGAGCTTGCCCGTTAAGTAGCTCCTGAACACGGGTGCACAATTTGTAGTTCATACCATAAAATCAGAACAGATTTCCATACAATTAGATAATAAATAAAACCTTTTTATTTTAGTAAAGATTTTACGTACTTTGCATTTTTACTTATCGGATGTTATGAGATTTTTTTTTTGTTAAACCGATTTTATGGAATATAATACAAATACAATTAGAGGATTGAACAAAATCAGAACAGATTTTTATACAACTAGATCATTAAAAAAATTAGATAAGGAAAAGAAGGAATTAGATAAGAAAAAGAAGGAATTAGATAAGGAATTTTGAATTTGACTTTTTTTTTTCATAGATAGACTTTACGTACAAATTTTGACTTCACGGATTTTATGAAATTTATTTTGACAAAAACAATGCTAATATGTAATAAAACAAATAAATAAAGTCTTTTTATTTTAGTAAAGATTTTACGTCTTTTTTTTACTTGTTAGATGTTATGGAATTTTTTTCTTAAACTGATTTTATGGGATATAAGACAAATAAATAAATTAATTAAATAAAATTTTGTATAGAAATCGCAATGCATTAATTACGTTGACTTTTTAATCTACTAAATTTGGTAAATAGGATACCTTATATAATAAATATAGATACAAATAAATAACATGCCAAAATTTTAAAGAATAATTAATGTATTTTGATTTATTATCTAGCCATCAGTAATATCATTTAAAGATATGATCATTATTTCTTAAATGATAAATAAAATATTAATTTAAATAAATATTTTTTTTATATACCCAAATAAAAATTAAAAAATACTATCGACAAATATGAATTATAATATATATCAGTAAAATCATTGCAGAAGTTAATAAAATTATTTAAGGAAAGAATCTTTTTGATCATATCTATATCTATATATATATATTAAAAGCCAACTTATTTATCAAAAATAGTAGCAAAAAAAGTCAACACACATTTAATGCATACCTTATTTGGAAATTTTTTACTGTATGCATTAAATGCTTGCATATATACATTTACTATCCATATATGATCTTAAATATTTTTTCCTTAAATAATTTTATCAATTTATGCAATAATTTTACTGATATTCATTATAATTAATATTTGTCGAGTAATATTTTTTAACATTTATTTAATTATATAAAACTAATATTTTCTTAAAAAATTAACATTATTTATCATTTAAATGATAATGATCACATCATTAAATGATTTTATTGATGGCTAAATAATAAAATTATATTAGTTGTTCTTTAAAATTTCGACATGTTATTTATTTGTATATTACTGTCAACTATGATTGTGTTTTTATCACTTTTTTTTGTTATGTTTCAAAAAAGAACTTATTGTAAAATATTTTTCGATTGTATAGTATGTTAATTAAACTATAAAGCCTTAGGATGAAAATTAGATAAAATCTCTTGATTGTGTAAGGGATTTATTTTTTGGCAATTGCTAAACTATTTTCTTTTTAAATTATTATGAGAAAATTGAATTCTAAAAAACATGTGTGTGTATTTTGTAAACATTTATATTCAAAATTGATATGGGATATTATATACTGGACCGGTTTATAGGGCTAATCAAAGAAGACCGACCGGTTTGTTGGACTATCTAGTGGGAATAAGATCGAATGGCATGGTTGAGTAGAACCAGACACCGGCCACTAGAACATCGAGCAGATAGCGACAATTAAGGAAATCAGAAGTGGTCGACAGATACAAGTCATCCGAGGATATGGTCGAGGGAGGACGATCGAGGAGACACAGACATACAGAACTGGTAGAGCATCGGAGCACATAAGGGAATCTCCAACACATAAGGAAGAGGACACGCGGCGCACTATGAGTGGTCAACAGCCATAACCAACTCTGACATTCTCTGACAAAGGTGACGCGTTTTCTGACACTGAGGATAGTGGGGGCGCGCGATCGTACGGACGAGCAGAAGACAGTTGGCCGAACGCACCTGGC